AATGTTCTCTTTTATTTTCCGTGAAGCGTGAAATGCCAATGTTGTATTTTTCGTGAATTGTGAAAGGGCTACTTTATTTTCAGTGAAACGTGATCTATACCCCCCCTTTACCACCCTCAGTAATGTTTATAAAACTCAAGAAGTTTCACGGGAAGTTTTGAACTCCAGGAGAGCTCACTCGCAAGCATGAGGAAAAAGTAACATCTTATTATCGCGTAATGATTATTAAGGTGAGATTTTAAGACGACCTAAAACGTCTGCCATAGTACCCGGATCCTCAAGGATGTGGTATTTGTACCAAGTATTGCGAGTTTTACCTCCACTAGCATTTCCGAAAGACAACTTTACCGTCTCGCTGTTCCACACGGGGCAAAAATACTCAATCAACATACTCTCAATACTGCAAGCGTAGTGTCCAGGATCCACAATCATAAATCGGAAAAAAAAATCAGTTTCCTCCCTCTTCACCCCTGTCTGTGTCCCTTTTTCAGTTTTTTCCTCTTCAGTCTGTTTCTCTTTTGTCTGTTCGTCATCTCTCTGTTCCCCGTCTGACTGTTCCTCTCCTTCTNACCCAGAGACATCAAAATAACGCAATGCAAACATAAGGTAAGCCATTTTATTCAAATTATTTTCTACACGTAGCATTTAGAGTAATTTTCGAAGCATTGTCATACATTGTCTCATAAACGGCTAAAATTGTAACGCAATCGACAACAGCATGATGTCACGTATTAATCATATTCAACGTCTGGGCCGCCTGTGGGATATATCACAGTTTTCATACGCTCTCGGATACTGTTCGCTTCTCGGAACAGATAATGTCTGCGGACAAACATCCGAGGATATTTTTTTGCCAAACGGAGGCTATCAGTAATGTTGATAAAATTCAAGAAGTTTCACGGAAAGTTTTGAACTCCAAGAGAGCTCAGTCGCTAGCATGAGGAAAAAGTACAATCTTATTATCGCGTAATTATTAAGGTGAGATTTTAAGACGACCTAAAACGTCTGCTATAGTACCCGGATCCTCAAGGATGTGGTATTTGTACCAAGTATTGCGAGTTTTACCTCGACTAGCATTTCCGAAAGACAACTTTACCGTCTCGCTGTTCCACACGGGGCAAAAGTACTCAATCAACATACTCTCAATACTGCAAGCGTAGTGTCCCGGATCCACAATCATAAATCGGAAAAAAAAATCAGTTTCCTCCCTCTTCACCTCTGTATGTGTCCCTTTTTCCGTTTTTTCCTCTTCAGTCTGTTTCTCTTTTGTCTGTTCGTCATCTCTCTGTTCC